ATGCTCCACTGCCTCACCGTTATTCTGAAGTGAGCAACAAGCCGGGAAACGAGAAAGCATCAGGCTTTTCGTTTTAGATGCGTTCACACGCATGACGGTCATGTCGCACTCGGCTGCGAACCTTTCTAGAGAGTTGAAGATCAGTTTCAGAAAATACTAGTAAAGCAAGGTCCTCTGCGGGCAGCAACCTTCTCGACTTCACATCTCCTGCACCGATACCCTCATCTCCTTGGCAGCTCTTGACTATTCCATCCATGTACAACACAATCAGGATAGGGGCAGGACGCAGCCTTCAAGGAGACCAGTGCGAACGTTCGATGGTTTCGACTTAACGCTGTTTACTATTACGCAGCATCTGTTATCAGAATGCACTGAATGAATGACCCTTGGCAGCTGGCCATCTATCCCGTATGCTCGAAGGCATTACAACAGACTGTTGCGGGGGATCTGGTAATACGCTTTTTCTAGGTCCACAAAACACATGTACACCGGTTGGGCGTACTCCCATGATTTATCAACAATCTGACGCAGGGCAAACATATGGTCAGAGGTGCTTCGACCGTGCCGGAGGCGACATTGCTCTTCTTATGTCTTGAAGTCAGCTACTTCGCGGCACCTCCTTTCTAGCAACTTTGCGTAGACTTTACCTGGGAAACTGAATAACGTAATGTGCATAGAATTAGAACACTTTCTGGTTTCCTTTCTTGAATACCGGTAGAATAACTCCCGTTCTCCAGTACGCTGGTGTCTTTCCCGCAGTCATCGCAGTTTGGCAGACACATGTAACCCAGCACATGCCTTGTTCGCCTAATGCGTTGAGCATCTCAGTGCGGATTGCATCAATTCCAGTAGTCTTTCCATTTTTCAAGCTTTTCAAAACTTGTCTAATTTCATCTACAGAGAGCAGTATTCGTTCCCTCCTGCGAGTTTTTCTGCGGTAGCGCGATGTTAAGGAGTTACTCAGGGTACTCACACCATTGCCGAAGAATGTCATCATCCTTGACGATAGGGTGTCCAGACCTGTCCTTCAAGACTCTAAGACTGCCCTTCTTTTCACCTCGGAGTTTCCGGGTTGTCTGCCAAAACTCTTTGTATGCCGTGTGGAAATTCGATATCAACACCTCACCGAATTTCTCCCAGGAATCAGCTTTGGCTTTCACCACTGCTTTCGTTTCCCCATTGCGTGCCTCGACATATCGCACTCGCGTATAAGGCTCTTTGTTTCCAAGCCATTTCTTGAACGCTGCTTTCTTCTATTTAGCTGCGAGTTGCACCTCTTTTGTCCACCACGAAGATCATTTCTGACCTCCAGGCGGCAGGTTAACCCTTTTAAATCCGCTGCAGTCGGCGGCAGCCTCGAGTATGCTACACTTATAGAGCTGCCACTCGGTTTCAGCATCAGTTGTCATCATCGGGATCTGTTGAAACCGTCGTGCGGTGTTGTTTTGGTCTCGTGCCCACCGAAGATAATGTTTCCCGTTTGATTCTCGAGTTGCTTCTGCTACCAGATCATCGTATGGTACTCTATTTCTTACAGCGCAGCGTGCCAAAACCAAGGTGATGATCGGTTTATAGCTCTGCGCCTCTCTTAACTCGAACATCCGTTACCTTAGTTCTTAAATCACACAATACGATTATCAAATCGATCATCGACTTCTGTGCACAAGCTTCTCGGTACCAGGTGTGCTGATGCACTCTTCGATGCTCGAAGAAGGTGTTCATAATGGACAATCCGTTGTTTGCACGAAACCGCAACAGCTTCATGGCGTTATTTTTGTGATCGCTAGGGCTGTTTTTTCCAGTCACGCCGTTCCACTTTTCAGCGTCTACTCTGACTTGCGCATTAAAATTGCTCATCAGTATCAGGGACCCTGTATTCGGCATTTCGTACAGGGCCCACTGCATTTCCTCAAGGAGGGTCTCGTATTCTTTCTCCAAATTGGGCGCATAGACCTGTACCAAGGTCAACGCTTTAGCCTTTTTAGCTTCAGTCAGAGGATTACTATCGTTCCGTTGACACGCTTCTAATCAGTTATTGTTTCCGCGCGGTTGGGTTCCACCAGAACACCAACAGCGGCCTGAACGCGAGGTGTGATATCGACGCCTGTGTGGAATAACCTCCATCCGTTGAGGTTCAGGAGTCCATAGCTTTGGCGTTTCGTTGACGAGAGTCCAACAATTTCGTGTTGGTACTTTATGGCCTCATGAAATAACTCTTGTTTTTCCGCTCTGTGTGAGAATATGTTCCTATTTCCGACTTTAAGCTCCCGCTGGTATTGTGGTTCTCGTCGATTCTTTTCTGACGTGCTATAATGGCATCGGGCTGTCTGCCTCCTCCGTTTAGAACGGGTTGCGACTCCGTTGCTGACTGGTATCTTGGTCGTCGTTCCATCAGTCTTCATCAGCCGTTGTTGTGCTGTTATGCCCCCGACTGGCAGACGGCACTGACCAGGTTCTGTTCGCCGACTTATCGTAATCTGCCACAGTCCCCCAAGCTTGCGCAGTCCTTGGTAGCCCGGGCGACGCCCGAGTCAGTATTATTTTCGATGGCGTCAATGCCGTGCGTGGCAGATGGCTAATTTTTACGGATGCTTGCCGCGGTCTCGAACCCTCACCCTTTCTGAATCACGCTTAGCACCGGTAATGGTGAATTAGAATATTACTTAACTTTTATTTCCTATTTTTTATATAGTTTTTCGTTCAACTTGTCAAAGTAGGTTGTACTAGAACTGATCATCATTTTTATGAGTATCTTGATTTGAAGTTTTTAACCTGAAATTGTTGATGATAGCAACAGATTTTTTCTGCAATTTATCATTGTTCGATTTAGTTGTATGTTTATGCAACTTTTCATATTGGATTTATATTTTTGTACATTTTTTAATTGTTAATAAACTTATCTGAAGTAGTGAACTTGCGGAATAACTTAGTATGTGGGAATACTGCGAGTTGTTCTACTTTACTGATTAGGCTAATATTTTTGCGATGATCTGTTCAACGAATTATCATGTGTTCATCCTTTGTACCGGTTTAGAATCGCTTATTTATTTAAACCACAAGGCGAAATCTTCAATCGGTGTTGAAGATTACTAAATACTTATATTGAGGAACACTAGCACCGGTACTGTGGGTCTAATTGATCGTATTATGGGAAATACCCCTTGATGTTTGTCCTCGTTTACGCACGCTGATCTTTACTTTTGTAAGTTTGACAGTTGTTTTAATTTTTGGTAAATATCACGGACGAGTTTGAGAATGTTTTGCGTCAGCAGTTTTAAGTAAATGGCATTCGTGACCCCTACCCTATAGCATTTTGTCATATTTGTCATATTTACCTTTTTTCTTAATCTTGTACTTTTCATACCGATGTATGAAACTGCTTTGTCTAAAGTTATGTTCATCTAGAAAGTTGTTCCTGGCAGTCCTTTTCCTGAGGCTTTGGCAAATCAAATTACGTTTGTTGGCGAGCAGGTATCTCATCACCCCCCAGGTATTAACTTGTGCTTTGATGAAAAATCTTCGCCCTTTCGTTTTGTTATATACACTCCCATTTAGTGTCTGCATTTTACGTCGAACATCCGGCGAAACGTATGCAAGTGACCGGTCAGATATGGACAAAGTCTAAGTTTTTGGGTTTATCGATCGCGGTTTATAATGTTGGTGAAACTTGCCTCTATTTGGGGGACCACGACGAAGAATATATTTTCAACTTTCCAAGTGCCTATGGCAGGTACGTTCACTTCATTCGAACTGTCATTAAAGCTTGTAATATTTATTCAGATCGATCTTGACAACACCTTGGGTTGAATTTGGTGGAAAGTGTTATATCAAGTGCAGTAAAAGTGGATACCATGCTGACATCGAGTTTCTTACTAAGGTATTTTTGCGCTTTTATGTCTTTAGACCTTTTTCTTTCTAGAGTACTAATCCAACTAGCACATAAAATTTGACTTATTCCATAGAACGAATTGTATAAAAAGTTATATGGTGCAAAACAGTCTTTTCAAACGTTAATGCGTTCTATCTGGTGTAAAATGTGCAGCCATACGCAACACAATATTTTTTTCGTTTAGCACTATGCGAGTTAACATGTTGTATTATATTAACTTAACACTGTCCTAATCGCGGGTCAGTTATATTCCTTATAACTGTGCTTTATAGTTTCCAGTCAGTACATTTGTCCATACCTGT